ATAATACTCAAAGCAATCAGGATAAGGAGACTTTTTTTTTATTATTTTTAAATTTTGAAATAAAATTTAAACTTTACACTTATCAAATTTAACATGAAAAATTTTTATAAAAAAAAATTAATCATTAAATCACGAGAATGTTCTCGAGATGATAAGACTTTCAAAAATAAAAGATAAGTAAATGTTATTATTTCCACGGTGTTAAACAATCTTCCCCCAAGATCATAAGTTACATATTTTCAACATTGTTTACGCTATATGCATCTTTTTCCTCGTCTCACGGAGCATTGTTTGACATTTTTAGATTCATGGCCATGGTTTCTCTTAACAGTTGAGCTTTACGAGCACCACAAACACACTGTCCGATACCCACATTGCAGTGACAAGTTGGAGGAACAAAACTAAAGCAATCAGGCTCCTATATATGTGCATGGAATTCTCGGACTTCTTGCTTCGGTTGCAGTTTGTAGACCTATAATAAAGACAAAGAAAATCATTGATATATCTTTTAATTTAATAAATATTTTAATAATTATTCAATTTAATTATTAAAATATAATATAAATTTAATTAATTTTTATATTTTGTATACGCGATTACATTTTTCGGTATTTATCTATAATTTCACATGAGAAAATAATTATAATTTTTAACAGTATGACACCTGTTAGCCTATGTTAAAAAGAACTGTCTTCTACTTAAAGAAGTTATAACAATATACTCCATGTTGGTGTATATTAGATTCACCCATGTAGTTTTTATTGAAAATTTAATTGATAGCCAAAAAAATGTTAACATAATCCATGTGGGTGACTTTTCATTTATTGTTTACATTGACTAATGGATCATTTGGCATTGTTAGGTACTGTAGGTGAAAGTATATCAACCACATACCTATTTATATTGCTGATTATTCTTTATTGAAGCTTTGCACTCTAGTAGCGTTAAGTGCTAAGTGCTGGAAAAGTGCTAAATTTTGTAGAATTTGTGATAGTGAAATAAAGTGTCACAATTGCCTAAGCTGTGCTTACAACATCCTGAAAATACCCTAATATCGGAAATTAAGTGTCGCCATATTGAAAGGTTTTTTTATAATGTAATAATTTTTAATAAATATATTATATAATATATTAAATTAAAAAATATGTCAGTTAGTATTCCAACAACAAATATGATTGAAACAATTCACAACTATCATAATATTTAAAGAATTTGACAATGATTTTCGTTGGTAACATAATTACATCTCAAGACACAAAAGGCACCAAAACAAAAGATTGTCGTTGCTTATCGAGTGAAAACAGTAAGAGTGCAGCTAACAAAATCATCTTGAATGACTTCTCCATTTTTTTCGTCCTTTGGATGTTAAATTTCTTGCATTCTTTCTTTTTTCTTTTGGTGTTAAAGATATAGAATATGATGAATACCTCAACCCTGCTGGACTACAAATTTATTTAGCAATTAATCGGCAGATTAGGCAATTAATAAAACTCTACTAACTTATTATTATTATTATTATTATTATTATTATTATTATTATTTACATCATGAATTAGTTGTTTGACGTTGTAGAGATTGGAATCCATAACTTCAACCTCAAATCAAGACTTTTGGGTTAATGGATAAAAATGAAAATCTTATACAATCAAGGCTTATCAAGGCCTTTAGTGGTAGATAAAAATCTATTACTATTAGTAAAGGAAATCTTATATAGTCTCTTACTCCCAGATTAAATTTTCAAAATTTTTATTTGTTAGTACATTGAAAAAGTTAGTTGTTTAGCATTATAGAGTTTCAAAATTTTGACCTTAACCTCATATCAAAATTTTTAAATTAATGAATATCAACTAACTAGACTTTTGTTGGTAATTTTTTCAAAAATATATAAAAGAAAGAAAAACATAGTCTAAATCTAATATTCTAGATAAGGAAATCTTATATTATCTCTTAGATTTTTTTTGCTTTTCAAAAATAAAAGCAAAGAGGAAAACCCAAACAAACCATTTACAAATTAGATAAAAATTCTAACAATACTAAATGGGAATGAAAATCTTCTATTATCTCTTACTTTTTTTTCCTTAAAAATTTTAGGGCAATATCTAATGTAACAAGTACTAACTCGGATGATAATAAAATTTTACTAACACATATGGGTTATAGTTGTAACGCCGAAATATGAAAATATTATAATTATAATTATAATATTATAATACACTATAAATTTATAACATGATATATCATAATATAATTATTTCTTTTCATTCAAAAATTTACTCATGATATTTTATATATTTACTAATTTAATATCACGTAATACTCATTTAGTGTCATGTTATAATCATAACTTTACAATAATAAGTAATATTATATAACTATAGCGTTACCGTCATAAACAAGAGAGGAAGGTATTTTCTGAAATGTACTCTTAACCCAGACTTGTGCATCTAACTTGAATGGTATACTCTAATAATTGGGAAAATCTAGTAAATGGGTCCAGTCAACTGGTTGGATCTGTAGTGCCGCAAATGCACTGACCTTCCTAATCCGAAGATGCAAGAAGTTGCATGAATAAAGTAAAAACTTATCCCATTACACTTCTAGTTTACGCCGACACCGCCTATTGTTTTTAATAGAATAAAAACATTTATTGATTTTTTTATATTAAATAATAAATTATATAATAAGGGATAGCTCACATTTCCTTATCTCTTCCCACTACTCTTAAGTCTTAAGGTTGTAAATTAAGGTTTTCAACTTAGAATCCACCGATTTCAAGATTGTAAATCGAGATTTCTAACTTAAAATCTTATATTCTTAACCACTTGTAACACTTTATTAGGATAAATAAAAACATTTATTGTTAACCCTTTTGTTCCAAAACAATTGTCATTTTTTATTTTAAATTTGTTTCAAATTTTTTAGTTTTTAAGGATAATTTTTTTTTCTATTTTAACTATATTGTTATCTATTTATTTTATTAAAGTAAAAAAAAAAAAAGAACAATAATTTTGAGGGACATTATTGGTACACATTTTAATTCAATATATTACATA